CCTCGCTCCTTCCCGCCCTCCTTCCCTCTCCCCTCCCCTCCGTCCGTGTGAGGGCCGCAGCGGGGACACAGGGCCCTGTGCCGGGAGTGCCTGGCACCCGGCCTGGCGCTGGGCTGCCTCGGGTTCGGAGCAGGTGAAAAGGGCTGAGGGGCCATTACAATTAGTGTAATAAATTGTTATTACAGCCCTTCTGGCCTTGCTACACGTTATCCTGTCAGCGTTCCCTCATTTCAGTGCATTAAACTCAGGTTTACGGCATGACCTGTGCCACCCTCTGTACGGCTTTTTGGTGCTGTCGTCCCTCTGCATTTCCTGTACACACAGGATTCCAGGAGCCTGTTGCCACTCTCGTCTGTCCCAAAGTCTGGGAGACACAGAGCGGGTCAGGTTGGAAACACAGCGGGGTCATCTGGTCCACCCTGCCAGCTCAATCCCGGTCATCCCTGAGCACATGGCACAGGATTGCATCCAGATGGTTCTGGAATATCTCCAGCGAGGGGGACTCCATGCCCTCTCTGGGCAGCCTGTTCCAGTGCTCGCTCACTGCACAGTAAAGAAGCTCTTCCTCAGTTCAGCTGGAACTTTCTGTGCCTCAGTTTCTGCCCGATGCCTCGTGTCCCACTGCTCAGCAGCACCAGGCAGGTTGTGGATTACTTTCCCACTCACCCACTCATTCACTCCCATGTCCTTTCCCAGCAGATTGTGCCCCTGCCTGTGACAGCAGCCCAGCTGTTCTGCGCCAGGTACCTACAGAGCAAGAATAATGTGGTTCTATGCTGAGTTACGTGGGCTGTATATGATTTTAATTAAGAGATTTGCACCAGGGAAATCAGAAGGGCTCAGCTGCCTGGAAGTAGGAGGTCTGTGCTGAAGGATTTCTGCAGAAGTAGTACTTATGAGACAGAAGAAATGCTTGAAGATTTTGAGCATTGAGACAGGCAATGAAATGGGATAGATAAGGTGAAATGAAAGGAGAAATGTGATTAGTGGAAGGCAGAAAATAGATCAATATTGAAAATGAAAGTGCTTAGCACTAATGTTGAATCAAAAGTATTGACACACAGAGGGAAAAGAGTGAGCCTATGAAAAATGTTACGGGGATTTTGAAAAAAAATACATCAAGAAGTCAGTCCATTACCATAATTTTTGTGTTTTTACTAATAAGAATAGCAAGGGGTTAATAGTGGCATTTAAAAAAAAAAAAAAAAAAGAAAAACAAAAAAGACACACCCACACCAGAATTTAACTCCATCATTTGTGCTTTTGGTTTGGAAAAACAAAACGGGTGAGGTCAATACTAGAGATCTAACCTCCACAGGGAAAAACCAGATTTTGTTAAGAAATAAATTGTAGATTCTATGAGACATTAACACATCATAACCAAAGTCATGTTTTAGAAATATCTCTAGTGACATCCTGGGGGATTTTAAGAGAAACAGGGGAACTAGAGAAGGAAATGAAGGTTGGCAGGATGAAAGCTAAGAGGGGAAATATGTTTTTTCAAACAGAAACTTTTTTTCCCCAAAAGTACTATTTTTTTTTGCAGAATTAAAATATCGTCTTATTAATATTTTTACTGGTTTTAAAGTTCTTGTACAAAATTGCTATAAGAGCATAACACCTTAAAATGTCAAAAGTATTAGCTAGAAGATCTCTTCTAGTTAGATACTGAAGAAAAAAAAATCACTGGTTGAGATTAGAGAGATTAGAGCAACTGGTTTTCTAGCCAGCTCTTAGCTAAGACTTAATAAACAAAAGAGGGGTAATTTATTAGATCATAAATTATTAAATATGTTAACAAACACAGAAACACAAGGTTCTTTTTGTTTACAAGCCCCTGGGATTAATAACATACGTACATATTAGGATTGCAAATTTGCACAATATTTCTAAAATCCACAGCATGATTTATTTAATATTATTTATTTTTTAAAATATTATATCAATTTGATTTAGAATTCAACTACCTATATTTGAAATAATATGAAAAGATCAGTATATTTGGATAAGAATTTCTTAGTGAACTTTAAAGTATTTCTCCAGAGATGTCAAAAACAAAATTAGAAAAAAAATAAGAGATTTTCTTACATTCTTGATCCCTTACTCCATTATGGTTTTATCACTTCAAAGTTGACCTGATGTGACCTTAACAGTTGTGGTTAATTCTCTAATACATAGTTTGTAACTGGGTAGAGAATAGGCTTATATGAGAGACCCCAACCAATAGCAAGATACATAAGGAGATAGGAAAAAATATCTCAGTATTTATCTGGGGGAGGGGCAAAGCATTCGTATATGATATAAGATTTAGTCAACAACATTTTCCATTTAATCATTTTTTAAGTGTTGACTCAAACATCATGACTATAAAATGAAAATGTTTTTGTGATTTTGAGGTGAAGTGTGCAGCAGGTTAGAGACAGGTTCTAACCAGAGCAGTATTTGTGGTCATAATGAGCTGTACTTGGGACCTCTTTCTAGGGACCTCTGTGATTAGAGTACTACATCAGCATTCTATATTTTTCCAGTGTTTCAGTATTTGTTTTTTGAAGATTATAAGATCGCAGAATTAAATTACCCCAACAGAAATGTTAAATTCAAAATGAAGTTGTTCACTGTGTTGCCTTTGGTTTTCTTCCAGCAAAGGAGGAGGTAGGTCAGAGAACAGAAGAGCTCCGTCAGGACAGCTGTAAGGAGTGGTTTGGGACACACAGAAGGGTGTGTGTAGATTCTGGGATGTTAGAATAGTTTACTGCAGAAGACTGCTGAGGATCAATATGCAGTGTTTACTTTTGATTAACCAAAGCACATGCACTATTTAATTGTTACCCATAGCCCTCTTCCTTCTACAGGCACAAATTTTGTGAGCTCTCTTTCGTCCTTCAATAAAAATATAAAGCATGAGATTTTTACATGAGTCTATTATCTTCATGCTTTTTGACACCATTTTTGTTTGTAGTATCTTCTTATTTGCTTAAAGATTCATTATATAGGATTTTCCTCTCTTTTCAAAAGAGTTGTGATGTTTAGTAGAGACCTAGAAAATTATCAATGGGAAGGGACAGGATTTCACTGTATATTACATTACTTGTCAGAAACACAGCAACAGAAGTGGTTTGGCAGTGTTTTCTTCCATAAAAATCATTGCAAATGTATCAGGCCAAAGAGATAACTGATACTCTGGCCTCAAGCTTTTTGTTCTTGTGGGGTTTTTTACTGTAAGGCTCATTGTAAACAAATAAATAGCTCATATAGATGCCACAAATGCTTACTATTTTTAGACCAAGGATCATGTTAAGTGCTATATATTGTCTTTGGTATGTGGTAGAGCTAAATTTGATTAACCTGCTCTTACTACAGGCCTCTCTCATTTATATATCTGTTGATTCCACCTCTAGCAGAAAAAGTCTTTCATAGGACTTGCAGCTGTCTGCTGTACCTCCATCCTAGGAAAGAGGGATGCTTCACCAAGGCAGTATGACTCAAAATGTTACCTTGCCAGCAGGTTTGTTTGCCCAGGTCCGTTTTTACTGCTTCGCTTACCCTGCTGTGGGTCAAGCAGCCCTGGAGGGATTGTTTCTCTCAGCACATCTCCTCTGTCAGACCCAGGCACTGTGCTTCCCCGGGACAGCAGCCCTGTTCACAGGCTCGGGGCTCCAGAGCAGAGCGCTCACCCGGGCAGGGGGGTGTGTTGCCACGGGGCTGCTCCACTGCACTGCTGCCACGTCTCTGCGTGGTGTGACGTGAGCTGCTCTTCACAGCATCCTCCTCCCAGCAGGGATGCATGGAGAGCCTCACACTGCACAGCCCCTGTGCAGCCTCAGCATCCTCCTCCCAGCAGGGATGCATGGAGAGCCTCACACTGCACAGCCCCTGTGCAGCCTCAGCATCCTCCTCCCAGCAGGGATGCATGGAGAGCCTCACACTGCACAGCCCCTGTGCAGCCTCAGCCCAGCCACAAGGAAGGAAACCAGAGACAGTGACTGCAGCACTCACACACAAAGGCAAATAATGTCAAGCTAGTAGGCAGTTGTTTGTTTACCTGTTTATTCTAAATGTGCCAGAGAGGATGTCAAATTTAAATCCAAGGCATATCACTGTAACCTAAGCAACTGTAACCATTACAGACACTTCACACTTGAATAGTTTCCCTACCTTAAATTTCTCCTTCATTTTTCTAGTTCCAATTTCCTGGAGGGGAGAGAGGGAAGAGCAGAATTTTGGAATGAATTTTAAGTGGAATTTAACACTTAGCAGATTTCTGGAAACCTGGATGGGTTGGTATTTTTGGTTTTGTTTTGATTGGAGTTTTTTTTGGGGGGGAGGGTTTGCTTGTTTGTTTGTTTCTTGTTAGCTTTAGATACTCATCTTGGTTTTTGGTTTAAAAAATAAAATTGCTATTTCATGTTTCTGTTACATGGAATGTATAATAGCTAATCTTGAATTCACCTAAAAATCAGACTAAAATACATTATTGTTGTGCAATTGTAGGAAAAAAAGACCCACAAATTTGTGTACAGCATTTTCAGACATTAGTGGAATGGTAGGATCTAGACAATATGTAGCTATTAAATCAATAATCCAGACATTGAGGGAATTCCCCAGACAGCTGTTGGATATTTCCCCCTAATCAGTAATAATAATCCAATGGTGTTTGAAATTGCATGATTTTATATTGGAACACATTTTTCTGCTGATATTTTCTCATGCATCTCTAATGGTTCCCTAAAATATGAAGAGAACCAAGTATTATTCATAGCCATGGATCTCCTGTGGAAAAGCTGCTGTTTGAATATATGAAGTCTGCAAGTTCTTCAGCCCTTTCTGACAGACATCCTAAACTGGTTTAGCACCACTGTACCCTGCTATCTTTTGTTTCCTGGCAGGATAACCCTGATGGATGTCAGCACTGTGTGCCAAGTTTTGTGTGGCAGAAGTTGGGGAGGTGTGTGGGAACCAGCTACACAGATTTTGAGAGGCAACGGAGCTGGGGGATGGGCAGGCTGACCTTTTAAGTCTCTTCCATTTCCAATGTCTCCAGTTTTGCTTTCATATATATTTCAGTGCCATGGAATTTTTTTTCCTGTTTCTAGTAGTTGTGTAGACATATACAATGCATAGTTTCTAGGCTGGTCCAAGTTATTTTTTTATATAGCTATAACCAGCATACTTGTGCTATCCAGATTCCTGTTTACAAATATAAACATTTTTCTTTGTTCTTCTCTGCTTCACTGCACTATTGGGGCTTACTTATTTCAGTGTCATCCTTCCTAACCTAATCCAAACAATAACCTTGGCTCAACAATTTAAACATATTGAATCCCCAACCAGAGTAGTTTTCCCTAGTAATACTCTGATTACAGCAGCTTTTATGTCTGAACGGGAAAGGACCTTAAACACTAAATCTCATCAGCACTGTAAAAAATAAGTGGTGAGCATCAGTCACATTTTCTTGAAATACCACAAGTCTTTCTTGAGGCCTAATCCTTTAATCTCTGGATTTTGGGCACTTCTGTTCTGATTACTAGGGATCAAAAGGTTTGGCAAATACTCTTCAGACCACTCATCAAAGTGGCCACTGTAATACTACCAGGTTGTTATGACAATTGTATGATTTTTCGTTCTAGTGGTAGCTGGTATTTTTGGAAAAAACAGAGAAGTTATTTTATCAAAGCAATGGCCTGCCACATTGAAAATTTGTATGGAGGTTCAGAGGATTTGGGAACATGACAGTGTCAAAGTAAAGGAGAAATGTCTTTCACTAATGATGAAAATTCCTTCTGCTCTATAAGAGGCAACATTTTTAATGGAGGGTACCCTCAGAGGGCTGCTGCAGCATACTCAAAGGCCTTTCTGAGCTTGTTTCCAAAGCTACAGAGTGACCTTTCATTTCACTGTAAATGGAAATCTTATGTCATTTCCTGCCTGAAATACTGTCATGTGTGACGTTACATAAAAAAAAGGAAAGAATTTTGCATGTCAGTCATGGACCAAAATCTACTTGTAGACCCTCCTACCAGGCAGTTTTATTAGATGTTCATTAGTCTGCTCTGGAAGTAGTTTTTCCCTAAATGAGATAATTTCCTTGTCCTGTTTTAAACAAAGGCTACATAAATTGGAACAAATCAGTGACTCCTCCTCCACAAATTTCATTTTACTTATTGCAAACTAGCAGTAAAATTAAACTTAATGTTTCCCAGTACATTTGATCACTGGGATTCCAAAAGACTGTTACTTTATGTGTTAGATCTCAGTCTAAGGAAGACAACCCCACCTGACTTAAAGAGACCTACCAAGGTGCTTTTGAGAAATCACTCATTTTCTACAGAGGCTTTCAATTGACAGGGCAGATTTGGAAAAAGAAACAGTCTTGTCACCTAGATGCAGGGCCCTGTGGTTATAATAGGAGCAAGTACAAATCTCTTCATGCTGTTCCTGTTCATTCCAGCCTTCATTGCTGAGCTCTGTTTTTTTTTTCCTGCCCCTGCTGTAGTCAGTAAGAAATCCAACTGGGTGTTTAGAACCAAAACCCCAAAGCCTGAAAGAGCCAAATACTCTTGTGCCCATCATGGATATTTTATCTGCATAGGTCTTTCATCACTTGCATCAGTTCCTCTTTACTTGGAAGATTATTTGCTGCTATACAGCATAAAATTCTTTGGGAAAAAATATTTTATACTGTTGCTTCCATGGGATTTGCCACTTTGTATATTGGAGTGGGCATATCAAGGGTGAATGCAGGTGAGGGCTTTCAAAGTTACTCTGCTGTGTTGACAACACTGTGACAGGTCTGGCCTTTACTATCAAATGGTGTATTTTTATTAATTTTTCTTTCAGTTAAATATTCTGAAATATTCAGTGACTATAGTGGGCTATGGCCAAGCAAATTAATATTATGTATCAAGTATAAACAAATTCTAACATTTTCAGGGTGTTAGCATTCAATGTTAGCTGTAAACTAGAATAACACATGTTTTTGTGTATACTGTGTTGCTTGATAAAAGAAATGCTCATTGAGTCTGTAGTACCAGTTCAGCCCTTGGCTTCCCTGCTCTCTTTAAGAAACTTGTGCCAGTGTAAGAAAAGGAATTAAAAGTCAAGCTCTCCACTCCTGTGTAGACCCTCAATATGAGCACACATTACTTGTTTGTGTATTAAACTGCACTGAAAAGTTATTTTGGCTTAGGGGAGGTAGGAGCTTTTTCTCTAGTTTGGGGAAAAGATGTGTAGCTCCCTGTCAGCTGGAGGAGAACGCTGGTTTGTTATCTTTTGCCTGTTTTCATAAACAAATGCCGACAGCAATTGTTGTTTTTGCAAAGCCAGCAGAAAGTCACAGGGGGTTTCTTTTTGTTGTACTGCCACACTAAAAAGAGATGTTATTTTAACAACAGAATGTTTGATAGCTTTTAAAAATACAAGGCCTAGTTTTTATGCATGCTGAGCCCCCTAATTTCTGTTGCAGTCAGCTCTTGTTGCAGATGCCCCAGAGCACTCCAAGGAGTCCCTCAGATTCAAGATCCGAATACAGCATTAGGGAACATCTCTGATGTGAGCAGTCACCAGGAAAAGGACAGAGGCTTTGTTTTCTATACATGAACACAAATTGGACTGAGTCTTTTCGAAGGTACATATATTGAATGTGTTCATAAACTTGCCAAGTTACCCTGTCAGCAGTCAGACTTAGTAATAAGGTGCAAGTTAGCTTACACTAAAGGATTTCTCTAATGGGAATTGCTTTGTGAGATAGAATGCAGAGCTAAGATTGCAGCATAACCACTGTGGGACATTCAGGCACAGGGAAACATCTGTCCTATGAAGAAACTCTATGGCAAAAATAGCCCCAGACTGAACACTGAGCTCAATTCCCAGGTTAGGCCCATCTGACAGAGCTTTAAAGATTTCTGTTGTGTGGTCAAAATGGGTTTTCTCCCTTATTGGAACTAAGGTTTTCCCAGGATTTGTGACTGCTGAGGTAACAGTTAATGGAGAAAGTCTTCTTTAAAATAAAAAAAAACAAAAAAAACCAAACCCCAAATAGCAAAGCACTTAAGATTTCAAATCCCTAACAAAAATAAGTACATAAATACAAAATGTATTAGTTGCATTTGCAAATAAAATAGGAAAATTACCTTACTTCCTTCTCATCAAAACTTACTGTTTTCTTTCTCAAACAAAGATCAATCCTGAGTTAATTTAGGTGTTGTATATTCATTTAGAGTCAAAGGACAGATAAACAAGCATTGTAGTAACAGATAAACAGCCCTTGAATCCAATAAAATTTATTATCAACTGGTTTATTAGCATTATTAAGTGAGTGTCTGTGTTCAAATGTTCTGAACCTTTAGTAAAGAAGGTAGGAGGGAATAAAAACTGGCTGAAACTAATTTTGAATTAATTCAGCTCTTACACTTTTTGCGGTCCTGAGTAAAAAGAGCACTCCAAATGTGTTGAAATTCAGAGACTAGGTTGTGGGTTCTTTACTGTAAAACCTGATCAAAATGAAATTTGATTGTAACAATCAAATTGTAACAGCTATTTGGTTTACTCAGATTTGGATATACTTCGTCAGTGTTGGCAGCTCAGATTTTGCAAGATCATGCCACTGCATAAGAAGCAGCAAGTGGAATGTGGAGATAAAAGCAACCATTTTCTATCAAAGAAAAGTTGCATTCTTTCTGTAAAGAAATAACTTGAAGAGTGAAAATATTAATTGTAAAATTATTTTCTTGTATCAATAAATTGAAAAATTTACCCTTTACATTAAGTGTTAAGTTGCATTTAATAAATTTTTTTAATGCATGTTAAACTGCCCTGGTTATAAGCATAATTCTGTAGTACTTCTTTTCATTGTAAATTGAGTCTTAAAAGATGGTTAAATAGAATTAAAATAATAAATTCTGGACTGAGATTGTCATAAACTGATACCTCCAGAAGAGTGACTTCACTTCTGTGCAGATCACCTGCCTATCATTTCTTAACCAGGCTGAACTAACAGCTGTATTGCAGAAGATAGCACTAAAACCTCACACAGCTGATATTGTGAAGCATGAAAAGCTACTGTACTCACTGTAAAGGCACTGTTTGTAGAGGAAGTCATTATCTCTGACCTGAATTTTAATGTGTCCTGTAACAACAAACATCGAGACTTTTCCTAGGAACTAGCTAGTTAAAAGTAATGTGTGATTCTGGCCATGGGAAGTTGCTAAAGTTATTTATAAATCTTTCTCCTCTTTTTAAGTATTAGAAGATTAGTTCAAGTAGAAGTGGAGTAGTTTTAAAGTAAAATCAGGTTAAGGAGATACTGAATGCAATAAAATAATTTTAATATTTTGTAGCAACCCAACTTAGCAGAGGAGTTTCTGAGACAGTGTCAGGCTCTAAGGGATTTGCTCACAGAACCCCTGGTTTCTGTTCTCTTGCTGTCTAACAGCTCTGCAGTAGAACTGAGTAACTCCTGTGTTCTGCTCCATTCACTGGCCTGGGGCACAGTACAATACTGTCTGTCCTGTGTGCAGAGGAAATCAGAGAAGGAACTTTCTCTGGCTGATTTAGGAGATGATGCTAGAGATCACAAGAAATAAGCAAAAGGAAAACAGATCCCCAGAAAGGGTTGTCAGAGCTCATTCAGCCTCGGTGAATGATCTAAAGAAAGAGTCTCCAATGCCAGGCTGGGACAGCAAGGAGAGCTGTTAGGAGTTGAGCACACAAGTTGTGAATAGCAATGAGCAGAGTTAGTGGACGTTTGCCTGATGACTCTTTCAAATCAAGCACATGAAGAGAAGAAATCACTTTACCAGCACACAGTGGAAAATTAAGGACTTCAAAAATCTTTGTAATGTGTTGCTTATGAAAGAGGAAAAAAGCAGGTAATGGCTGTGAAAAAAAGTTCATTTTTCCTTTTTATTTTTGAAGTCAGTACAGCATGAACAGCAGTCATGCATCCTGTGCTCCTTTGGTCCTTGGTCCATGACCAAGTGCTGGCCTGTAGCAGAGAAACCACCTCCACTAAGGCTGTGGTTTATTTTCCAGCCTTTCCAAATGTGTTGACATTAACCATGAAGCTGCACATAATGTTATTCCATACTGTGTATAATTGTGTTTCCTTATGTGGTCAACTGTCCAACAGGAAATGAAAATGAGCTTCCTCTTTTCTAGGCTGTGTTGAACAACTTTTTGATAAGTGCCAGGCACTTGTGTTCCTGAGCATTCAGTGTTGCACAGAGCAGCAGCCAGGTTTGTGTCAGTGGAGTTTTACAAAGCTTCCTGAGTTACAAGGGCAGTTGTCCACCTGAAGGGGCTGTGCTGAAGAAAGCAATACTTGTGTAAATCTGAAAATATATTTTTCCCAACTTGCGTAATATTTTTGTAGATCTCATCTAACAAAGATTTTAGTTTTGTTGGAGATTCATTCTGATGTTGGAACTCTGTTTCAGGAAAGTGGTTAAGCTCATATATAGAAATAAGCATGTGAGCTGTTACCAAACTCACACAAGTGCTGATCAGATTTGTTTCATCTCTTTTTGGCTGGAAATTGATCTCTCTTCTGAAATACTGTTCATGCTAATCAAAATATATTTATTTTTCCAGAAAGCCATGCTAGTTGAGTTAGTATATTTGCCTTTAAAGTTTGGTTTCTCCTGGCAGAGGCAATAGTTTAAATTGTGTCTGGGCTACATCAGAACAAATTCTGTAATTAATATGTAAGAGATGTAAGAAGCATATCTAGTTCCTGCAAGTAATACGAGGCACCCAGTTTTATTGTTTTAACTACGACTATGCTGTACTGTTTGAAATTAAAAAATATTTTTTCTTTTGCTTTAAATCTGTTCCTAATGCTTCAGTTTGTCACATTATTTATCCTTTGAGTTAGTAACATAGTATGAAACAGTACTGTCTCTTTCCAAGTTCTTTTAGAATTTACTTTTTTACATGAGTTTAGCTTAATTTTTACAAGTGTTCATAGTAGCTGTTTTCTACCTGCACCCTTTCACTTGCCTTTTCTATTTCTCAAGTTTTTCTTTTCTGTATATAATTTTTCTGGCAGAGGCTAAGATGCAGAGACCCACTTTGGGACGGGTGCTGTGTGACCTGGAGTCTTTGCAATGCATATTGCAGTCATTGGGTAGACCTGAGCTCATAAACAGGGCTTTGCACTCATGCTGTGATATTTGTGTCTAGGTGACTTTAAGCTTTTACTCTTAAAATATCTCATTGTTGCCACCCCTGGTTCAGCTTCACGAGAGCTTTAGTCCACAGACAGTTCATGTAACAACCAAAATTTTGTGTGGTAGGTCAGCTGGTGTTCAGACATTCATCAGTGAAGCAGACAGAATAGTGGCAGAAATAGTGAGAAATTGCTCCTTTGGTAGAGGGAGAAAAACCGAAGAATGGGACGGGCGTTTCATTATCTCAAACACCAGAGAGTGCTGACACTGCGATGTGCTGGCACATGTGCACAGTCTGACAATAACAGCTATCATGCCCAAATTTCCATGGCATTTATTCATAATAATCCCTCTTTCTCAGTAAAAATGTGAGGTTTTGGTGACTTTTCAGAATTTGTTTTCTGCCAAAAACAACATATCTTAAAATCTGGATTCAGCCAAACTCCCTAAGACCAATCTGTTTGTTCGTACTTTGACCAAAGGATTACGTTGATGGTTTCCCAGGATCCAAAATTGTATTTAATCTGTTTATAGAGCTACATATATTATTTGAATGGGAAAGAGGGAAATGAGAGTGGCCATATCTACATCAGCTGGTAGCTGTTCACAGGAAGCAGCAATTACTGTCTAGCCTTCTTCCCTGGGAAAGCTCTCCCGACTGCTTCCCGTACCATGGAGCTGTGCCATGCACTGGCACACAGCATGACCATGCAAAACAGCAAATAAAGTGCCAGAGAGCAATAAAAACGAGTTTGGGGGGTAGATTAATAAGAATGACAGCAATTCCCTCATGAACAGGACTGAAGGTAATTTCACTTGCAGTTGTCAAACTGAGCTAAACTGGCAGGGGAAGGAATGTGTGTTTGTAATCAGTAGCTGTGCACTTGCAGTGGAGGAGGGACTTGGGCATGGCACACTTAGTCAGTCTCACCTCTTCCAAATTTGCTCAGCCTGTACAGCATCCTGCATTTTTCCCTTTGCTTTGTTTGGTCCCAGCTCACATATGTGTGAATCATCCAGGGGGAAAAGTTTGAGAGATGCTGTGTGTCAGGTCAGTCCAGGTTCATTCACTGTTTATCCTTAGAAAGCCAGAAACAGTGGTGTGTAAACAAGGGGGGAGGGGGAAGGAAGGTTTAACAACACAATCAGGGTTAATCTTTTCGTTCAATAGTGCATGTCATTTGGTTTTCTGATTATACACTAAACAACAGTTATATTTTCTTTAATTCAGTTACACAAACACAACAGCCAATTAATATTTCTGCACTCTCTGTGTTGTGAGAGGTGCACAGAAAAAACCTTTGTTATTTTTCTAGTGCTAAATCTGTTTATGTTAAACCATATTCCTCTACACAGCAACAGCAAAGTAAATGACAGCATCAATTCAATCCAGAATGCTTGATAAATTGAGAGGGGTTGTTTACCTAGTGTATGAAAAAGTCCCTTAGGGATGAGTTTTATTGTGATCTGCACAGTCATCCATATTCCTGTACTGTCTGTGCTCATGTTTGTGAGTTAAACATATACAGTAATTTAGCATTCAGATAATCCCATGGCTATAATCCAGACAGATTTAGCTCAAATTTCTCTGGGATTTCTATTATCTAGATTTAGCAATGTGGTGTTGACTGGATATTTTAGATTGCTGCAAATGTTTGTTTTTTTTCTGCAATAAACAACATATTTTGATGTTCTCGTAATTGAAGATGTAGATTCTTTCTGGCATTAACCACATGTAAAAATGTATCTTTGTGAGGACAGTGATTGCACAGCTGGAGCATGCTTTTAATGGATTCCAGCTATTTGACTACATACCACATAAGATCATACAATGTTTATATGAAAACCAGGATAACATATGTGAAAATACGAATGAGAATTATCTGAAGAACATTTATCTCCACACATCTTTCCTTTGAAAATCAACTCAACTGCTTCAATTTTAATAATATTCTATTACAATAGATTTGGCAGTATTATAATATAGAGCCTGGCTCTCTTACAGCACTTTTCCTAAGTAGACCAGAGCTTTTATTGTTTTCAGTTTCCTCAGATGGAACTTCTAGTCTTTCTCACTCAGCAGTTTTGAGGAAAACAGGGAATGTGGGGGGAAGAAAGAGCATCATTATCCACATGAAATGAGGGGATATTAAGCCCAAGTGCCCCGGGTACCTTTCATAGCAGACCACCCTTTGTCATATGTTGCTCTGATTAAGTGCAAATGTATTCAAGGGAGCAGAGCAGACACTGTAGAGAGGGTCCAAATGTTCTTGTACCAAAAATGCCAGCCCTCCCACGTGCCCTAGCATTGGTGGTTTTGGGGCTGCAGGAGTAAGAATGCTTGTGTGGGAGATTTTTAGGACGGAAGTGTAGTGTGGGAAAAATTGTAAAGCTGCTTCTTCTACCCGAGTAGCTCAAGTGAGAGTGTCTGAATTGAGGCAAACAACGGAGCAGGGCAATGCATGCTCTGTGTTCTGCCTTGTAATTGTGTTGCAAATGCACCAAGTACATTATTCACCCCCGGGCCAG